CGAAAGGTAAAAGCTGGTAAAAAGAGAGCCGCGATTTGGTCTATTTGTTGAGCATTAAATTATATATTAATTTAAAAAATTAAATATAAACTCAGTTGACAACAGCTGGTATATTTTTCTTCTTTTTATACATAAGTAGTATTGTCAATTACTCTTACAAAAAACTTCATTCCCTCCCCCCCACACACACACCTCTTGTGAAAATTAGGTAATTAATTTAGAGGGGTTTTTTTGTATGCTACGAAGAGTTCTCGTTCAAATAGTCCACCCTCTTCTCTTTCGCCACCCCAGTGCTATCCTACCTCCAGCCAAGCAATCTGTCTCCATTCTCTGACCAAAAGCACATTTTTTAAAAACAACAACAACGAAACTCTACAGTTTATGTTCACTGAACAGAACAGACTTCAAAAATCATTTCCTGAATGCCCATTTTCATAACGCAGAAAGAACAGAATAGAACGCGGAAAGGAAAGAACAGAACAATTTAAAAAAAAACAAACCAAAAACTCCAGTGTCTTAAAAACCAGAAGAATTTCAGGACTCTTATTTGAAATATATATAAATTAGCGAGAATGGATGGGCTTGTGTCTCCCTGCTTTCACACCGTACACTCAGGGCCTAAATAAGCAATAGCTAGTTATTTGAGGGCTTCAACTCTTCAGAAAAATCTCATTATGTGAAGAGTGAAGTGGCTCTGTAGGGAGCATTATGGAAATATCCGTGTTTGATTTAATGAGGCTCTCTTCACATTGGTGGAATATCAACGGAAAAGAGGAAGTCTACCCGGGGCGCCCGCGTTACCAAAATGAAAATTGGCAATTGAGATGATAAGAACCGCGGTTTCCTTGTGCAGAATCACTTCCAAGGTAACAGATATAACATTAAATAACATACATTCTTTGCACCAAGAACAATGTTTTATGTTCCAAGTCTCTTATCTGTCTCTTCTAATGACTTCCCTTAGCGGGTTGTTAGTACTTGACAGCAGGTCTCCGCGCGGGGAACTCCCCCCCCCCCCATTCCACATTCAAAGGAGGTCCATCAGAGAACATGATTGGCAATTTTCGTCATAATCTGCACATTATTAGCATCAAAATTGACACGGCAGTAACACCGGGGTTTTGTTTTTTTTATGTGCCTTTCTTCAAGTTCACGGAAGTCCCTCCAGGAAGTAGCAAAAGGGGGTTGGGTCTCTCCCTCCCTTACCCCAGTGGTGGTTTGTCAGAGCCAAAGGCGTGTGACGAAATAATGCCGAGAAACATTATTTCCGCCCTCCTTTGGATTGAGTCCTTTCTTTGCAAATTAAAGTTTCATTAAAAAAAAAAAGACACGTTCGTTTGTTTGTTTGTTTTTAAACTAAAGTACCCGGAAGGTCAGTGATTCGAGACAATGCCTCACCTGCCAATAAAGTTTCAAGTATTTCCCAGATAAATTGTGGACTATGGTGCTCGGAAAGCAGGAAGCTAAAAAATAATAATAAAAAAGAGAACGTAAATCACTCGCCCTGTTTCCTGGACGAGCATTGCTGTCAGTCTCACACTCCCTTTCCTTTTTACTGGCCCACCCTCAGCTTTCTCATTTGTTTACCGCCCTCCCTCCAAAAGAATAAGAAGAAAGTAGCCAGCCTCTTCCAGTTCAAGAGGGCAGGACCAGAAGAAAACCATAATAAGAATCGCGTTTCCCCCTTCCCCCCTAAAGCACCCGGTTTCTTTGCCCATCAGTCGCCACAGGTATCTCTGTGGCAAATTTCTGCTGGGTTTGTGTGCTTCGTCCTCAGCCAGATCCCCACTAAATGCAGGAATTGGGGTTTGCCTTTGATATATAGGTTTGTTTTAAAAGATGCCCAAACAATGCGTTTGGGTTGCGCAGCTGGCACAAGCGCCGGCCTTCGAGATGGCTGCTACTAGAGCAACCATTGGCCATGCTGGCTTAACCCGCCGCTCAGCAACAACTCGGGCTGGCCGCAGGTTAGCCATCCTTTCTGCAGAGGACCAAGGATAAGGTGCTGCTTAGGTATCCAGTCGTGCTAACAACCGTCGGCTGCAGGTCGGAGGCGCTCAAGAGCAGTTCCCATTGCTGCCAGCAGGGGGAGCGAGACAGCACCCTCCGGAGCTTGGACGGCTGCATTGAGTGCAGAATGTCTAGAAACGATCATTCGCCAATCCTAACAACTGGGGGTGCTTGTTGGGTGTGAGGAGCGGGCGGGGGAGAGAGGAAGCACAGAATGTTAAAAGGCCAGTATGTTTGGGGCTGCTCCCCACACCTTCCTCCTCCAACCACCCTCTCCCAGCGACCATCTTTTTAAATCAGGGCCGTGAGAACAACAGCAAAACAACAATTATTAATTATAGTACTTTAAAAAAAAAACCTTTTTGCTAGAGTTCCAGTGTATGCCCGCCCCTCCCCTCCCCTCCGTTGTACAAAACGGTTCTCTTCTGCCCTCGGCCACCCCGGCTCAACAGCGCCTCCCACTGGCCGCCGGGGTGGGGGGGCTGGCTAGTTATCTGGTCAAGGCGGCCTCCTCCCGCTGGTCTGGGGAAGGGACGGCGGTCTTGCTGAGCACGGCGGCCGAGTAAGGCAGGAAGCCGCTCTCCGAGCGCTGCGAGGCGGCCGCCGCCGCCGCTCCGGCCGCGGTGCAGGTGAAATCCGAGCCGGAGGCGCGCGATCCCAGGGCTGCCGCGGCTGCGGCCGCCGCCGACTGGCTACTGTGGCAGCTGAGGCAGGAGCAGGGCGCGGAGCCGGCCGGAGGAGCCGTCGAGGCGGCGGCGGCTGCGGCCGCGGCTGCAGCTGCAGCGGCCGAGGCGGCGGCGCTGCTGTTGAGGCCGGCGGCGGCGGCGGCGGGCGACTGGTACAGGCCCGGGTGTCTGAAGCTGCACAGCAGCTCGGGCCGGGAGTAAGGGTGCGAGAGGGCGCGGAAGGTGTCCAGAGGGCGGATGGAGGTGGCGAAAGGTGAGGCGGTGGCCCCCGACGCCGCAGCAGCGGCCGCGGCCGCCGTCACCCCGACGTGCGGGTAGTAGTGCAGGGGCACGTGGGAATGGAACGGGTAAGGCAGGCTCCCCGTGGCCGCCGCGTGGGTCATCATGTACGTGTAGAAGCTGGGGTCCGCCGGGTGGGGCCACGACATGGCCAGCCGCTGCCTCTTGTCCTTCATCCGTCGGTTCTGGAACCACACCTGGTGGAGTGCGGGGGAAGGGGGGAGAGAGGGGGGGAGATGTGGGGCAGCGAATAGGGAGGTGGGGGGGACACACAGAGGATAGGACGGCTTAGAAACGGCAGCAGATCCACAGCAGCGCGCCACGCCCCCTCCCTCTGCCGCGGGGTCAGATGCGAAGCCTGGCGCAGCCCTTGCGCCACGAGGCGCAGCTGGCAGTGCTAAGCCGCCTCCTCGCCAGGGACATTGCTTGCCCCACATGGCCTAAGTTAGGTTTTTGAACCAGCCTTAAACCTCCCCAACTTGGCTGGCCCGCTCGATTCAGGCTCTTCGCCGGGCTCCGCGCTTCTTCCGTTTGAACTTTTAGGCCGCAGAGATATGAAAATACTTCTTTGCCCCTTCTTTGCGCGCCGCCGGGGTCGGGAAACTTTCCCCTGCCGAGCAACCATCCCTGAGAAACTACCGTGGCTGCGCTGTCTTCGATCTCAAAAATGAAACCGTTCCCCCGCTCCCATTCCGTATTAAAATATAATCAGGGATGTCAGCCCTCTCTTATTTCGATTGAGCCTAACTGAATTCAGTGGGAGCACTGGGTTGATGTTTTTTCAAAGTTATTCATTTTTAACAAACCTTTTTAAATAAACCTTTTTTAAAAAAAAATAAATGACCAAGATTGCAGATCAAGTTGCAAACCCTTATCAACGCTACATTTATTTTCAACGACCAAAACAGGCAATAAGTCTCCATATCTGCTTATTGAAAAGGCTGAGAGTTCTGCCCACGGAAAATACCCTTTGCAACGAAATATATGGATGTTTCTGGTCTTCCGGTTTACCTTGGCTCCCTTCTGTTTTTCCCATAGCGCAATATATAGCACGTGATTCGAAACCATTCATTCGGAAACGATTTGGTCCGGCTACAGAAACCAAATGTTCGTGTGTTTTTTTAAAAACCGAAAAAGCCAAACACGGTTTGATTACTGCAAAACTATTAAGGTTTCCATTTCTCCCGATTCTTTACGGTGTCGAAGGTAGGGCCTTCTCACCTCAGACTGCGATCCTAGGCACGTTTACCCGCGAGTAAGTAAGCCCGGTTGAACATAGTGCGACTTACTTCCAATTAAACTCGTCCAAGGATAGAGCGCAGCCATTTGCCTCTTCCTCTCAGATGAGGTAGAGAAGAATCAGCAAATGGAATAGAAACCATCTGAGGGAATAACGGCGTGTGATCCATTTCTAAATCGACTCCAGTTATTAAAAAAAATATGTTTCACATTAACTACCTTTCTCCTATTTTTTTATTTTTTAATAAACCTTTTGAAAATGCGAGAAACAATGGGAAAAGACTGTCTATCTCAGAGGGGGCGGGGAGAGAGAGACGAGGTTGAAAATAGCTAAACAATCTGGTGGGAAGAGTGGAGTTCTCTGCTCATTTTTCTGGTGCCTTTTTCTATTCTCCTTGGCCTTGAAGAAGCGGAGACGTCAAACGCGGCCTCTTTCGCTGCCCGCAAGGCGCAGCTGGACCGAGGCTGGAGCTCTGGTGGTTTAAGAACCCGAAAGAAAAACAGAGCGCGCGCAAAGCCAGGAGCCAGCCGGCAGCCTCCCTCGCCTCCCGCAGCCCCGGCTTGCCCTGATACACTACGGTACCTTGATGGTAGTCTCCGGCAGGTTGAGAGCCGCGGCCAGCTCGCACCTCCTGGGCCGAGAGACATAGTTCTCCCGGTAGAACTCCTTCTCCAGCCGAGCGATCTGCTCCCGGGTGAAGGCGGTGCGGTACCTCCGCACTTGATCCGCTCCGGAGCTGGAGTTCCCCAAGGCGCTGCCGCCGTGGAGGCTGCTTAAACTGGAACCCGAGGACGAGGTGGTGGTGCTGGGCGTGGAGCTGCTCTCGGAATATCCTACGGAGCAACAACAATGACAGCAGTGAGAAAGCATCAAAGAGCGATGGCTGTTCTCCAGGAGAAGAAGGGATGAGCTGGCAGGCGGGTTTCAACCAAGCGGCAGGCGCCGCTGGCAATCTGGGCTCTCCCTGATAATTAATGCTGGCTGTCATGGATACAAATTGCCGCTGTTAATAGAATCAATAAAAGTTTCTTTTCTTTTCTTCCTTTTCTTTTCTCTTTTCTTTTTTAAACATGGCTTCATAAGCAAACTAGACGCCTTCTTGTGAAATAAATAAATGCAACTCTCTCTGCTCTGCGGAGCAAATTAACCGAGGAACAAAGTTAAGGCAGGCGTTTTCCTAAAAGCGTCCCTCCAGCGGAGACTTCGCTCGTCTTTTCCTGTCCCTGCTTCCCTTTACTTTTTATTTCGTGGGAACCAAATGGTGTCCCTAAAAACCCAAAGGCGTGCCAGTTCGCACTGTAAGTGAATTTCATCGTAGGATACCTTTGGGCGAAAGGTAAACAGCCCCCGCGTCCTAGAAAGATTGATCTGTGGTTATAAATTTGTAAGTTGCCTCCAGTTAGGATCTATTTCCTAACGGACGCTTCGAAAAAGTTGCTACCGCGCTTTGAGAGATTACGCTGTATTAACTGTAGGATCGAAGTTAACAATGCCCAGAGAAATACTATTTTGGCTTGGGGGTGGGGCGGACATAGCGGGAAGGAGAAACACCTAATGCATTAAAAATAACGATAATACGTAACTGCATTTTTAGTGAAAGCATCAAAGAGAAAGTCAGACAGACACACAAAAGAATCTTCCTAGGAATAGAAACTCGCTCTGGACTCTAAATGCAGCCTCTAATTGCCGTCTTGAAGATGCCCCGTTATGAGCTGTATTTTATAATTACACAGTACCAAAATTGCGCAAGAAACACCTGTCTACACACTCCGTAGAGAAACAGACTGGTGTGTTTTTTTAATAAAAACAAAAAAAACGGTGTAAGTGGCACTTCGTTCTCCAAAACAAACAGGAGAAATATTGTGGAAGATATGCCCAGATACACTCAGAAGGTGTGCAACGTTTGGTGGTCACAAATACACCATGACAGTCCTGTTCACTTCGGTATAGATTCTAGAAACTCAGCGTGCGGGAGTGTGCAGGTCAGACTGGAGATCCCTTTAGCACCCTGGATAGACTGCCTGGTCTTGAGAAGCACAGTAACACGCCAAAGAGGCTTCCACATTTGAATAGCCATATTGTACCTGCCTGTTCCATAAAGGACCAGCTGACGATCCCTTGGTATTTAATGTGCTGCTTAAAATCCTGATCTTCTCCAGGAAAAGCTGGAGGGGGTGTCAGGGCGCCTTGGATTTCTTCTCCCTATCTCCCCCCACCCCACCCAAGTTCTTACCCCAGTAAACGCCCGCTTTGGAGTGGGGTGGGGTGGTGGCGCCGGGGTAGACGGGGAGAGAGGGAGAAAGGGAGAGAGAGAGTTACCTTTGTTATTGTTTTCCTTCAGCTGGGAGGAAGTGAGGCTGGCGGGGGAGCGGAGCGCAGAGCAGCCCACCTCCACGTCGCTGTTCATATCTGCCTCTTGAGCAACTTCTGAGTAATGGCTAATCTTCTTCCTCCCTTCCGAGGGAGGCAGCTCCGAGGTGGCGACGCCGACGCCGCTTTCGCTGCTCTGGTGCTGAAGGTTGAATAAAGTGTCTATTTCGAATTTCCCTTTGGCAGGGATGTCCCCTAAAGAGGTGTGCAGAGAAGCGGAAGTCAGTCTCGGGCTCAGGCGGCCGCCGTGGGGCGAATTTTCGAGGGCCTCCAATACCACGTTGCCAGCCGAGTCGGACAAATTCGCCAGCCTTTTGCCAGCCGTAGGGCTGTGCAGCCCTCGTTCCATCAGGATCATCTCTTTTCTTATTCTTTCCATCATCTCTTAGCTCTTTTCCCCCCCTCCTTGGGAAAAAAAAAGTATATATATATATATAAATATATATATATGTCAAGGTTGCAAAGGGTTCGTCCTCCTAATGATGAGCCGTGCAGCAGGGGCTAATTCGCATTCAGCCCGGCGAGTGTCTCTAAATATTATTATTACCTCTTTTGGAAGGGGAGGCGTAAAAAAAAAAAAAAAAAAAAAAAGGCGAGATGCAAAAGCGAAGGGAATGACTGGTCAAAATGACCCATACATCCTTCCTAGCCCCGAAATGTCATTCATCACGAATAGGGAGCGCTCGTCATTAAGGTACGGATGACGCTGGTCGAATAATCATTTATTGTAACAGGTTTATAAGCAAATAAATACAAGCTCCTGTCAACGGATAATGAAGGCGGCTTCGGAGCAGACAAATAGATCCAGGTAGGGAGAGAAAGAGAGAGAGAGAGACCCGGAGTGAAGAGAAGAGAAGCGCTTGTCCTTTGCTCGATCAGATCTTGCATGGATTGCTCTGGGGTTTGGCCTCTGGGGTGAAATTGACAGTCTGATTAATAAAACGAGCTGAGCAACATTTCCCCCTTCATTTAGGTGCATCATTATGCTCTGATTCCCCCCTTTCTTTCCTTTCCCCCTTTTTGCTTTTGTGTGTGTGTGAGTGAGAGAGAGCGAGAGAGCGTGTGCGCGTGTGTGTGTGTGAGCGCGCGCGCGCCTCTTGGCTTCTTAGCTCCTAACGATGCAAGCTTCTTTCTCGTTTGTCCTTCTCGGACAGAAACACGGGGGCTAAATGACAGGGGAGGCTTTGATTTCTAGGGAGGAGGGTTTCTCTCTCCCTCTCCCTTAAAGAGAGAAAAGCTGCCAAGGTGTGTGTGTGCGCGAGAGAGAGAGATTCCACATTCAGTCCTCTTTTAATCACCTTTCCTTCCTATTTAAGAAAGCAGGCATCCAAGACGTCCCAGGAAGAAATCGACTCGCCCTTTCCACCGGGACAAACACACACACACACACACACACACACGGGCTTCCAGACTTAAATAACTATTTCTGCAGATACGTACCAGCCCAAAAAGAGCATCTATCGCGAGCTACAGCCTGTGCGCGCAACCATTAAGAGTAATCCAAGGGGATCTCACCGTTATTTCCTTAACTCACCCGCAAACCATATATATATTTGTGTCTATGTGTGGTGGTAGTGGGCAGGCGTGCGGGGGGTGGGGGGAGGGTTTTTTTTCTTCCTTTCCATAATCCTGTTTATTGACGGAACTAGTCTAAAGTCCTTCCTTCGCCTCTGGCTCAAAATCCTCTCCCTGGTGGAATGACGGGAAGCAAAAACAAAAGGAAAGAAAAGTTCGGCGGAATCTTAAAGACATGATTCAAAGCACCAGAGAGGAGTAAAAAAAAATAATATTCAAAAAAAAATTCATTAATATATTCATTCAGCCATTCTCTGCCTAGATTTTTCTCTCCAACCTCCTCCACCCCTTCTAAAACGAAGCCCTGATATATAGATATATATATTTAACGCTTTTGGTATATATATAAAAAAGGCCTGGATTGCAAAGGCAAATAGCGAGAGCCGCCATTCTCCTCGGCCTCCTCCAACTCCCCTTCCAGCCAACCTCCTTCCCTTGTGTAAAGTTACCTGCCTCTCCGTTTCCTCCCCTCTCTCTTTCTCTCTTGGTTCGGAGAGATTCCGGGGAGCAGCCAATCTCTCTGGGCGCCCAGCGGGACGCGGGGGGCCGCGATTCGCCGGCCCTTCCTCTCGGAAACTCTCTCTCCGGCGAGAACTTTGATGGTAATATAATGACGCCGAGGGCAAACGAAGATAAAGCCGGCTGTCATTAGCATCCTGGGAGCACCTCCTCGAGAGGTACAGCGCCCAACCTTTTTTCCACCCGAGGAAAGCCTTACTGTTTGGGGTTTCCCTTCTCTCCCCACCCCCTGTGAGATTCTGCTAAAGTTTATATTTCTGGCTGGGGGTGGAATCCGATGGAAATGCCTCTCCCGCGATACGGTAACACCTCCGCCACACACACCTAGAAAAATGCACTCTTCTTTCAAGCAGAGTGCCTGGTGCTTGATCTGATACGATAAAGCTTCCTTTCAGATGGAACAGGGCACGCCAATGTTAGGGCCCGATCCAAGCTAAACGAGGCTGCAGTCCTGCTACATACTCACCTAGGGTTAAGCCCCATAGGCCTGCCAGGGGCTTTACTTCCGAGTAGATGCGCAGAGGCTTGCGCTCTGAAGCGCTTTCAAATCCCGTTGATTCCAACAGTGCAGAGCTAAGCAGGTCCGCCATTAAAATGTCTTTAATTTCTGACTTAGACGTGCTTTTAATGTGCATGATGTTGACCCATTTCTCCCAGATGTTGGGTGTACCCTGGATAAAGTCCAGGGCTCTTTAGCCAGAGGGCAAGTAAAGGGCATTGGTGCTCTCATTTGCGCGCCCCCTGATAAGATCCACTTTCAGTGTGCTTAGGATGGTGTTGCCACGGATTTCTGAAGAACACCTGGATCCTACATAATAATTTCCCCTAAAGTGACTCAGAAGTGTTTGTGTGTGAGACAAAGAGAGTTAGAGTAGTTTGGTCCAAGATCCTCTTAAAGACTTCATGGAATATTAACATTAAATTGATTCTACACATAATAGTCAGATTTTAAAAAATCCAAACACCCAGCTCTGTGTTAAGGCTGTTGTTGCAAAAGCAACAAAGGCCCAGTGCGCGCCATGCCTTTAAAACACATATTTAAAGCACATTCCTCCCATCTCACAAAGAATCCTGGGAACTGTAGTTTCTTAAGGGTGCTAGGAATGTCAGCTCTGTGGTGGGCAAACTACAGTTCCCATGATTATTATTTTTGGGGAGGGGGGTGTTCTTTAAATATATGGTGCGCAGGCAGTCCAAGAGCCCAGCGGCGCCTTAACGTTTATTACATCATAAGCTTTCCTAGACTCGAGAAGCCAAAGGACTCTAAGCCATGAAAACGTCCGCCACAATCAGTGTGTTAGTCAAGACTCTTAACCATAGAAATGTAGAGTTGCAAGGGGCCACCAGGGTCATCTAGTCCAACTCCCTGCAGTGCCCAATATGGGGCTCGAACCCACGACCCTGAAATTAGGAGCCTCTTGCTCAGTTACTGACGGAGCTATCTTCGTTGCTCTTGTTGGGTTTCTTCCCCTTCCCAGGTCAACTGTTCGAGATCGGTTGAGGCTCTCTAAGGGGGTCTGTTCTTCATTAAACCCCATCCAACCAATTAAGGCGAGCCTTCGGTGGTTGCCCGAAGTGCGAATTTCGCTGTAGAAGCCTGGGTGCGTATTACAACAGGAAAGGATGAAAATGGCAAACAAATTGGAAACAGAGCATGCGCTTGTCCGTGGAGGCATTTGAGAACAGGATCTCCTATTACTGAGCAACATTCAAGGTGCAAAAATTGCATTTCTGTGCGATCCTCTATTGCTACTATTACAAACCCCTCCCTTTCTCAAAAGCACACAAGGAAGTAGAAGCGGATAACGGTGCGGTTAGGAATTAACCTCTTCCTGTCTGGTTGACCAAATGCCCCTATCCTGACAAGCGTCCCAAAGCCCACCCGGTGACTAAACTACGACGACAGCAGCCTTCTGCTCTCTGGCAGTCACTCTCCCGTTTTAAACTGGAGCAGAAACCAGTTCCGAGATGTTGTTTTCCTGAGTCCACACAACTCTCTCTCCGTCCCTCCCTCCCTCCCTCTCTTTTGCTGGGATCCTATAAAAATTCCACAGAACTTGGAATCCGCCAGATTTCCGCGTGAGCGTTCTTGACTGTAGACTAGGCCTCCGAGTTTTGCATATCAGAGGATCGCCAGCAAAAGAAACCCTAAACCTAATAATAATAATAATAATAATAATAATAATAAAATACTATAAGAGTGATGTTGTCCTCTCTAAACAGACAAGAAACACCATTTGGCTCTGGGTTGGAGAAGACATGCGTATCGATTTCCGAGGAAGCTTCAGCCACCGCGTGGGAGTGAGTAACCAACCAGTTATAAAATGGGAAGCGGAAATCTGCGGGCGGCTTTATTGCTGTCGTTTGGCGCCCCCATCCGTTTTCTCAGCGGCGTTAACACGCGCGATATAATTATTTTGCTGCTTCTCCCGCACCCCCTTTCCTTCGCCAGCCTAAAATCTTCAGAAAACCGACGTCTTCAGCACCCTCTCCTAGAATCACGAAGCCCACCCCGCAACCTCCGAATTGATTTCCAACCCAGCTGTCTCCCGGCACCGTCTCCTTTCGAGGAAAATAGCTGCGGTGCCGAGCGCGCGTTTGGAACTGAGACCCTTCAGCCGAAGGAGGGCTGCAATCGTCTGGACTCCCCAACTCCCCTTTATTAGTGTTATTTTATATTTTGCACCTTTTAAAGAATAGCAGTCCTCGAGTTTATGTGAGACCTCTTTCAAAGTTTGGCTCTCTTCTCGTGAGAGGGGAAAGTTTAGTGCGCGCCGTAAAAGGCAGTTTAATAATCATCAGCTAAGTAGATATTGCGTAACGACGCCGACCGCAGCCAATGGCAGCTGGTCATTACTCTCCAGAAAGAAAGCAAAATAATACTAATAAAGTCGTTATTTGATGTTTTATATTCCTAGACAACTCGATTAATGGGCTCGAAGGCTCTTTAGAACTATTCTTCGTTTAGGAAACTATTTCTGGGGGTTTAACGTTGTTGCTCTTGTTGTGTGTGTGTATGTTTTTAAAGACATTTTAGAAATGGGGAATGTTAGCAGACAAATGTACAGGGCTGGTTTTGCTTGCACCGTGTTGATTCAGTTGTCCTTATAAGTTTTATGTAGCTGCTACGGCCTGAAGCCAAGCTTTAAAATAACCCCCTCTCAAAAACTGAGCCCTGAGACATCAAAGAATAAGCTACCCTTGTTTGTTAACTTTTAATTGAGGAGGTCTCATCCGACTTAATTGAAATGGAGCGCAGGTTTCAAGTGGGACCGAAAGCCCCGGCAG